TGCAGTCATCTAGACCTATCGGCCCCATTCTGCAGGCGTAGGCCGCCATCTGACTGTGAAGAGTGAGTATTCCAATCATGTATACCATACGCTTTGAAGAGGACCTTTGCAGTCCTGTTAGTTCATTACATCGAATTTAAACCTTCTTTGCCATGCTCTTGTTCACATCATCGTAAAGACAATGCATGGGTTAACTAATGTCGGTTAAGTTATCGAATGACCAAACACCATTCTCTGTCGTGGGAATGGATCCCTCTTGGTAATATTATCCAATATATCATTGGCATCGATACCTTCGTGACTTGGCACCCAGTAGATGTAAAGTAGTTTGTTTCTGACAACACTCTGCACAGCTGAAGTTGCTGTCTTAATTTCTGCTTGGCCGTTTATGAGATGATGACTTTAAAGTTGCTTGCTGATGCATTAGTTGCTATGTACCTCTGCGGCTTCCCAATAGTAAAGACCTCTGCTTGAAATATACTGCAGTGGTACGTAACTTAGAAGGATGCCTTATGCCTAACTCTAGACAGTATATGCCCGCACTATCTCCGCCTTCCATTTTCGAACCATTCGTATAAATGTKTAATTTTTCATAATAATTCATTTTTAATAGCTTCTAGAGGAACACGGTTCAGAAAGTATGTCCGACTACTACCAAACATAACTATATCAGGGAAGCTAGTAAGACCTAAGTAATGCTACTTGGCCCCAATACTCTTGCGCCAACTTTTTTTCTTATCCTCGAAGCAGTTGTTAAAGTTAATTTCCGCAATAGAATTKWATGAGCGTAGCGATTCACGTTAAATATCTTCAATTGACTCAAAACGGTTTYCCTGGAGCGGTCGTTTGAGTTTGCTGAATAGCCAGAAGSCACACTGAGCTAAATCAGGCAAATACGGTGGTTGCRACACGGTATGTGTTGAAAATTTGGTGAAAAACTCCCGAAGTATCAATAGATAACGCGACGGTGCATTATCGTGGTGCAAAAAACAACAGTTGTCGGYCCATAATTCATACTTCTTGTTACGAATAGCTCCACGCCAACGACGCATAACACTTAAATAGTATTCCTTGTTKACAGTTTGGYCTGACGAAAGGAATTCGGAGTGCACCACCTCGATAATCGAAGAAAACTGACAACATMACCTTGATTTTTGACGTGCTTTGTTGTGGTTTTTTCAGTTTTGGCTCATTTTAGCCACGATATCCGGCCGATTGATCGTCYGCTTCCGGGTYGTATAAATAGATTCAAGACTCATCGCCTGTAATAACACGTTTCACAGTCGTTAATGCGGCGCTGTTTTTCAAACAAAATTAGTGATTTTGGAATCAATTCTCCTTTCTTAGGTCCAAATTATTTTCAAAAAAGTTTTCACGGTTTCCTTCTGATAATCTAAAGATCATAGTAGGATATCTGACTGTTAATCGTCGATTCTCAAGCACTGATTCCTTTATTTTTTTGACGAGCTGATTTCCGTTGACGTGGGTCGTCGTCAATACGTTCTTAACCCTTTTGGAATAATKTGTACCAATCAAAAACACTTCCTTAYGACAAACAATTATCACCGAAGACCTTTTACAACATTCTGAACATTTCAGTTCAAATCCCTTTGAGGCGAGGTCAGTTCCAATAGATCCCATGCATTTATAGTTAAAACCCATTTTCATGAACACGGCCGTATGTGTAATACTATAACTTATCGTTCTATGATTTTAGAACTTTTTCAATGCATTATATTGATATTGGTATTTTTAWTTTTTTTATTTTTAAACTTTATAGTTTTAATAMAAATSGAGTCTTSCTGGAAAGTGACTACTCACTGGGARTAGAGTTTGAAAAAGGTTAATGCATTTATGTTGAGCAAAAATTTTTGCGAAAGTTAAAAAGTTAATGTGTGTAAATGGAATATGTCAACAAGCCACAAAAAACAAAACAGTAAAACAGAAACAACTAAAATTAAAAGCAAACTCACACACTCACACATGCACACATTTCTTTATGAGCCACTATACACGCATATGAGACTGAGTGTTTGCTCGTAAACCGCACACATTGGCGYCAAAGAACTTCACGCGAAGCCATCAGCAACCACTGAATTTTTGCATTCATAAAACCACTTAAACCTCACCCCGCAAACTTAACAAGCAGCGCCACTTGATTGCAGCCAAGTTCACGCAACTTTGCACGACATTAATTACAGCAATTTGTGCGCGCAGAGGAAGAGGAAGCTGGAGAGAGAAAGAGAGAGGAAGAGGGAGAAATAGGGATTCGGAGTGTGAGCTGGAGCGCTTGYGGCGCCACTAGCACTTGCACACGCTCCCCACTTGCTATMTCACACGCCATTTCGCCTATGCGCGCTTACGCTGCTCCTTGCGAGCCGCGAATTTGCAAAGCAAACACAACACAAATATTCGCAAAAAATGCAAAATAGTTTTTCGGCTTTACTGATTTTAAGTATGCGAACTGCTTGTGTATGCGGATGCGGGCGCGGGTGCGCGCTAATTAATGCCACAGTGCAAAAAGRCAGCGTCACATTTGCACTCGCTCGTTTTTAGTCAACCAATAAGACGCCCAACCATCCTACCCTACYCAAAACGACTTCATTGCCACGCTTGCGGCACACAATAGCAATAAGCGCAACAGCCACACTAGCGCGAGCTGCCACTGCTGCCGCATTGCAGGACTTAGTAAAGAAATGCTGCAGCAACAACAAAATTGGCAGCGAGGAAAAAATCGTAAATAAAAYGGCTGATGGCTGACGCACTAAAACATCCGCATCGTTAAAGCTGCGCGGGGCACAAAAACGGCGAATGCAAACGCCGCTAGCTGCAATAGCAGCAACAATAACAGCAACAGCAGTGGCAGTGGCAGTGGCAGTAGTAGCAATAGCTTCATCAGCGGCATGACAGCGACGGCAGGAAGTCAACTTTTGACGCACYTAAATCAAAACATCAACACTGTAAGCGCTGACAACGGCACCGGTGCTGGCAGCGGCAGTTGAAAAAAGCTTCGTGCTTGTTTGGACGAGTGTGYCGGATGTTGGGCGCTGGAAGACAGAGGGAGCGTGAAAGGCGCCTGCGAGCAAGTAGGCGTGTAAATGCACTTGAGGATAGTATGCAGCGCGCTGCTGTGCTGCTGTGAGCGAGGATCAACAGCTGCTGCAACAACAAAAACCACAAACAACACCAGTGAAGCGTTGGGGAAACAGTGGCTGCAAATGAGTGCCAGAGTTGGCAAGGAGATAGGCATGGTGCATGGTGGTGGCGTAGTTGAGTTTTAGTGGCAATAGCTCGCACTTGCAGTTGTCAAGTCGAGTGTGGCAGCTTTTGAAGCGCGTGTTGTGTTGCATGTGTCAAAAAGTAATGTTTACATCAACATTACTGCCAGCGGCAATCAGCAAGTGCGCCCTCAACACCGCCACCCGCTGCCGCCGTCAACAGCACCAACACCAACCACCCAGCCAATTAAGGCATCCCACTCTGGCTGTGGTGTTGATGTGGCATCCATATGCGCATTGTGGCATGCAACAAGCGCTTGCTGTCTG